CACGAAGTTGAAGTCAATGCTTTGAAGTGTTAAGGACTTAGGATATTTTTAAGTCCTAAGATTAAGTGATTCGGAGATGCATCCACCTTCGACAAAGGCAAGTAACGCTTTCAGAGACAGATATCGCTAGTTATTGCCATGTTTGGTGGGTTTTTAGTACTTACATCCTTGAAGACATTCAGAGGCAAGTTGAAACACAAAGGCTTATCTAGAAGGATACATGTCAGATTAATAGGGTTTAACCATGGTCAACAGTTTTCTTTGTAATAGTATATAATGCAAGCTTATGCATTGTAGTTTAGGTCACAAATTCCTACAAGTTATCTTTAGAACCAAAATACCCAAGTCACAGAGTGAAACATGTGAGCATGCGTCCACCATTTAAAATTTCTATAAATCTTTTTGCTTTCAAAGCATTTCCATAAAATGTCATTTATTTCATTTGCTTTATTTGTTGTTTACTATCTTTATCAAAAGTCTATTTTTTGCATTCAATTGATTGTTATTCAAACGCTTAAATATAAGTCACACGCATTTTTCATTGTAATTTATCTTTGCACAAATTGTCTTTGAGATTTTTTGAGTTAATCTTTTAAGTGCACTAAACTCGTGATTGTTTACTAAAAGCACCAGTAAACACGGTTGAAGATGAAGAAGTCCTTGATTGTAAAATTTTTCACGCCTCATACAAAATTAAAAAAAATAAGCTAAGAGAGCTTCTAATATTTGTACTCGACATATAGTTGGAAGACCATCACATATGCCTAGGACCCTGGATAAAGGTTTGAAAGGGCAATCTTCAAACGTTCCAGGACAGCTACCTCAAATTCAGAAAAAGGAAATCGATGTCCTACTTTTGTAAATAAGCATTCATGTAATGGGGCCATGAAGTCATCAAAATAAATGCATATCTGCTTCTTTCCTAGCATTGGAAGGACCGACCACTAGGAAGGGTCACTTTCCACAATGTTAGCATCTCTAAGGGTGGCCTTAGTGCTAAAAGTCTAGGAAGTGTCAGTTACCTTTGGGTCTACCTAGTCGCACTCTGGTATCCAGTTACCTTTGGGTCTACCTAGTCGCACTACGGTACAGCCAGTCAACTTTAAATATTCAAATTTTCCAGCATCTCAACATCGTTAGGCTTATAACCTAGCGTTTGTAGGAAAGTTTGAATGAAATCTCTAGCAAGGTATCTCCTTTGCAAATTGGCATGTATCTCCTCTTTCGACAAGGTATCAGGGTGCATAGGGACCTCTGCGCAATTTGTTCTCCCGCTAACATTTGATATAAGAGCATAACGACCCAGAAGAAGAAATTTCTTCCTCCAAGAAAGTCTTAAACACCCCTTTTGACCCATAATTGTTAGATGTGGTTATAGTATCTGGTCCTACATGATCGCCACTAAAAAAAGGGTGAGGTGAATTAGGGGATGCCGCATATGAGGTCTTCATTTCATTGAAGGGATCACATTTATGTGCATTTTACCCGTTACTTTGTCAACAAAATATTTAAAAACAAACAAATTAAAAAATGTCAATTAAATCTTAACACAAGTATGATACAATTAATTTTAGATGAACTTTTAGTTTTCTATTGTGTCCAAAATTAAATTGTAATTTTCGTATTTTTGCGATATATTTGTTTTCTTTTTGTCATTGTCAATTTTGATGATGTGAACCATCACTCAAATAAGCTCTTCTAACCTTCCTTAAAAAATATTACTTTTTGCATTCAGTTTTGAAATCACATGGTCTTTTAATTTAAAAAGTTTGATTCCGTAAATATCATCTCATTGTGGTAACGAAGTTTAGGTCTAAATGTTAAAAGTGTGAACTTAACTGATAAAAAATGGTATTGAGGATTTCCTATTGCACTATAAATATTTCTTAAATATTACACGAAATTTTAAATTTTTTTTTTTTTAAATATATTTTCGAACGTCTGAACATACATATATATATATATATATATATATATATATATATATATATATATATATATATATATATATATATATATTCTATTTAGTTTGTTTTTTAAATATATCTCAATTTTATAAATAAAATTATTTTAAACCTATATATTCAGAAAACTTTCAAAAATACATTTCTTAAACTAAAAAAACAAATGACAAGTATATTTTATCTCTCTCGGTCCTCTTGCGTAAAGCTGAAAAAAAGGGCCGGGCCTACCGGACTAACCAAAAAACTCAAAAAAATAAAGAATTTGGATAAGAAAATTAAGGCTCATTTATCATCTGGACTCTTTTAGTCCGATTTGTTAAAGTTCGAACTCTAATCAGACTAATCCGATCGGGTTGTGGATAGCCCATTTATCTTATAAAAATTAAAAATTAAAAAATTCTAAAAATAAATATGTGTTAAGGTATCCATGTTTTTTAGTAGAATTTTGCAGTAGAAGAATTTTAAATTATGTAAGTATTACGTTAGATATTAACTTATATGTAATTATTTATCATAAATTATCTACTAGATTCAAAAATACACACTTATAATATGTTGAGTAAAAAAGTTATAGGGACAATTGAAGTTTGATACTGTTATTGATTTCAAAATTCACATATTGAAGTTACAATGATTTTAAAATACACACTTGTAAATTATTTTGCAAGCATTTGCTGTTATTGATTTTTTAACCATTTTGAAAGTGTGTACTGAAGATATATTTTGTAGTATTTTGTAGTTTATTTTGCCAAAGTGTGTGCTTAGGATATATATTTCATCGAGAAGTAGCAAAAAAGTGTTTGTCTACTGAAAAATAGCATATAGATATCCTAATTTTTTTTATAAGTTTTAAAATATAAAAGTTTACCTTTTAAATTTAAAAAATAAATAATAAATATAAACCAAACCAATCTAAAAATTAGAGGTTCGCAAAGAGTCAAGGTTGATCAATCAAATTGTGATTCATTTACAAACTGTGCTTTTTAGTCTGACCCACATAAAGCTCGAATTCGTCATAGGTGAAATAGTCGTTATTGCGAACTCTATTTTAACTATGAGGTCAAACTCCTTGAAATTCTAAATTAGAATTATTAAATTAAACTACAGCGTGTTAGGCACAGCTTAAAAGAAATCAAATTACAAGAGAACAACTTGAGAACCGTAATCCACAGCCACCAATAATTTTATTCCTTTTAACTGCTTCTATATTAGCTACTTTCCATTAGTTTACTTGAACTATTTTGTCAAACTTGAAGGATACACCAATTCCTTTTAACTGCTCCTATATTAAACTGCAGCGTATTATGATTTATTAGTTCCTTCTTTGTGTTAATTTCCTGATACACCAATTCACCAGGATTCTCCAGTTGGCGCGGAGGATAGTACAGGTGATGACGAGCACAGCAATGCTGGTGAAACACCCGCTTTAACTTTGATAGTCGTACTACAGTTTTACAAAGAAGCATTAGCTAATAACGATGAAGTCAAAATTGCTGAGTTGAAAACCTCATTTAAATCCATAGATGATAAGATAGTAGCTCTTGAAGCGAAAGTTGATTCTTTATCTGAAGAACTAACAATAGAAAAAGATCGTAAGTTAAGGATTGGTGCAGACTTTGACAATTATCGTAAGAGGATAGAGAGAGGTCGTCTTTGATTGGTCACAAATGTATACAGGAAGTTGCTAAGAAATATGTTGACTACAATAAGAAATTTCCTAAATAAATTTCCTATGTCTTAGGATAATTGTAATCAATTTTAAGTCCATATGTTAATTTTTGACAGGTAGGTCCAAATGTTAGAAGCATAAAGTAGAACAAACTAGCATGTAGGAACTAATTCTAAATTTTAAATTACAGTTTTGGTAAAAGCAAAACTTCAAGTACTTTTTAATTTAGAGCGCCAATCTCGCCTCCAAACCCTCTCTACTTTACCACTCCTTTAACTTTAATGAAACTGTATACAAATTCATAATGCAAACAACTATTCACAATGAGAGAAAAAAACTGAAATTATCCACTTTTTTTTACAAATATAATTTAAATTTTATATACTATAGAGTGTTGGGTGTTTGAACTCCAGTGATGTTCCTTGCATTTACATGTTAATCATTGGATTCGATCCCTTATCTTTAGGGTATGATATGATAAAAACTTTGCTTGCTGTTGACTTAAAGTTGAATTGATGACCTCTTTTTTCTTTCCACCACATGAAAAAAGAGAATGAGCAGCAGTAGCAGCAGACATACTAAATAATGAAGACCTTTAATTAGTTTGGTGAAAGCCTCTAAAGTTTGTCCACTGGGACTCATAAATCAAGTTCATCTATCCAGGCTAAATTAATTACAGTGGTGATTTTCTTACACTCACCCAGGTTTAAAGATTTGTTTTTGAAAAACATGGATTTCACTTTGGACTATTTACTGCAGGTTTGTATATGTTTTAAATTCTGGAACATGACTTGTAACAAATCTTTATAAAAAAGAAAGAAGCCACGGAACTACTAGTTATGCCAAACTTTGGGTCACTAGTGTACTAAAGTTAGCATTTGTGTATGCTGAAAGTTACCTCAAAACATCACTACCAGAACACATGAAAATTTCAAATTAGTTAGTTAACATTCTCTCTATTCTCATCATGTTATTAAAATTAGCAAAAGGACATGCATTCCACTCAGGGTCTGTTACATTATTCATACTATTATGTATAATTATGTTTTGGAAATTCTAAATCCATACTACATAACATCATTTTTTTCTCTCTTTAGCATAACAGACCAAACAAAACAAAAAGTAGAACACTGTCACTCATTTTAATAGAAAACAGCAATCATAAAAACACACCATCCTCTTTCAAATCTCATAATCAGCTGCAAACTTTAATCATCATATTCCCCACTCTCTCTCTCTCTCTCTCCCCGTCATAGTACTCACATTTTCTTCCTCTCTCAAATTCACAAACATACCCTTCACTCTCCACATTTTAAATTCAAAACTTTTAAACAAACCATTCTTCTCTCTCTTCACAAAACCATAACATGAACATAACACTAGCCTTAACCTTAACCTTAGCATTTCTCTGCATATCACCATCATTAACACATAGTGCACCACAAAATGATACACACGCCCTCACTGAATTCCGTCTCCAAACCGATTTCCACGGCTACCTCGTCGGTAACTGGACCGGCGAGGATGCATGCAACTCCGCATGGCATGGAGTTGAATGCTCCCCAAACGGCAGAGTTGTAGCTCTTTCCGTCCCTTCCCTCAATCTCCGAGGTCCTGTTGATTCACTCTCAACGCTAACCTACTTACGATTCCTTGACCTTCACGATAACCGCTTGAACGGAACCATTGTTCCTCTCTTAAACTGTACGGATCTCGAACTACTCTATCTCTCAAGCAATGACTTCTCCGACGAGATTCCGCCGGAGATATCGTCCTTACGGCTTCTCATCAGACTTGACATGTCTGATAACAACATTCATGGTGAAATTCCTAAAGAGCTTTCGAAATTGAAATATCTCCTCACTCTCCGTTTACAGAACAACGAACTCTCCGGTGAAGTTCCGGATCTTTCTTCTTCTCTACTCAATCTCAGAGAACTCAACATTACTAATAACGAACTCCAAGGACGCTTACCAGACGCCATGCTTACGAAATTCGGCAACAAAAGCTTCTCAGGCAACGATGGTCTTTGCGGATTGACACCATTACCAAATTGTCCAGTCACCGAAGCTCACGCTCCTCCTCCTTCTGATGACGATGGTGGTTCTGAAATTGTTCCTTCAAACCCTAGCTCTTTGCCAAAATCAAGTAGAAATGCTAACGGTAACATTCCATCTGAAACTCCTTCGAGCAAACGGAAAATGTTGAGTCCCGGTGCCATTGTGGCGGTTACCGTGGCAATTTCCGTGGCATTATTAGTGGTGGTTTCTTTCATGGTGGCGCAATGTTGCGGAAGAGGAGGAAGATCTAACTCAACTGTTGGGATGGATAGCGAAAAGGGAAAAAGTGATAGTAGCAGTGGAAGCGAGAAAAAAGGCTATGGCCCAAATAGCAACAACGGTGGTGTGGATAGAGATAGTGATGGAACAACCGAAACAGAAAGAAGCAAACTAGTATTTTTCGATAGGAGCAATGAGTTTGAGCTTGAAGATTTGCTTCGAGCTTCGGCGGAGATGCTGGGGAAGGGTAGTTTGGGAACTGTTTATAGAGCCGTTCTTGATGATGGATGCACTGTTGCTGTTAAGAGACTCAAAGATGCTAATCCATGTGACAGGAATCAGTTTGAACAATACATGGATGTTGTTGGAAAGCTTAGACACCCTAATGTTGTTAGACTCAAAGCTTATTATTATGCTAAGGAAGAAAAGCTTCTGGTTTATGATTATCTCTCAAATGGAAGCTTATATTCTCTTCTTCATGGTTTGTCTACTCTAATTCCCTTTGATATTTCATTCAATATATTGTTCTATAATGCAGTAAATGTATCAATTGTTATTAGTCTTTTGCTTAGTAATTGGCTAATGGCTTTGGGAATGTTTCAGGGAACCGTGGTCCGGGACGGATTCCGTTAGATTGGACCACAAGAATAGGCTTGGTGTTGGGGGCAGCAAGAGGCCTAGCAAGGATTCATGGAGAGTATAGTGCAGCCAAGATACCTCATGGGAATGTAAAATCTTCCAATGTACTACTCGACAGGAATGGGGTAGCTTGCATAGGTGACTTTGGCTTGTCACTATTATTGAACCCTGCTCACGCGGTCGCGAGGCTGGGCGGGTCTAGAGCTCCCGAGCAAGCGGAAGCGAAGAAGCTTTCACAAGAGGCGGACGTGTATGGCTTCGGGGTGTTGGTGTTGGAAGTTTTAACAGGAAAAGCTCCTTCCTGTCAGTACTCTTCTCCAATAGGAGTTCGTCCTTGTGTGGAATTCGAGGAAGAAGAAGCGGATCTTCCGAAATGGGTTCGGTCGATTGTGAAGAAAGAGTGGACATCAGAAGTGTTTGATCAGGAACTTTTAAGGTACAAGAACATCGAAGAGGAGCTTGTTTCAATGCTGAATATAGGACTAGCTTGTGTTGTGTCACAACCTGAGCAAAGGCCAACAATGTTGGAAGTTGTTAAGATGATTGAGGATATAAGAGTGGAACAATCTCCTCTAAGAGAGGATTTCGATGAATCTCGCACTTCGCTTTCACCTTCACTTGCTACTACCGAAGATTGCCAAGCTTAATAACACTACTGTTATTCTTTGCCTCAAATCAATATCATTCTAGTTGTGATGAACTTACCTATTTGTGTCCCTTTATATTTTCATAATCTTATGTTGTTAATTTTGTTTTTATATTTCTAGTATTTGCAAACTGATGATGTTACGGTTGTTGCAGTTGTATTGATACATAACTGATCTCTAGTGAATCAATGTCTCTGCTACTCACACAGCACATGTTCCTTCCTGTACAATAAAAGAAAGAGGGTTAGATTTAAAACTGTTTTTGTTTATCTCTGGGTTGCCTTTATTGATAATTGAACAAAAAAGATATTGAATGGGATCTTAAAAAATGAGAATAATATTGTAGAAACATTGTTCATGAAAAACAATAGCTCATTTTTTCTTGATGGTAGTAAAAAGTGGGATCCTATTTCATATATTTTATTTTTGGTAGAACATATATGAACCAATTTGTATTTTTAAGTTGTTTTTTGTGGACTACAAGTACTACATGTAATTTGATAGCATTCACATTTTCATTCCAATGCAAAGAGTCCAATTTTAGTGGTTTAAGTTTATGAGATTTTACACTAAGGAATGCTATCTAAACACCTATTTAGAGGTTCAATACCGTAATTTTATATCCTTGGATATTTTACTTTTAATTTTTTTTCTCTCTTTTATTAACATTAGCAATTGTAATTGATGTACTTTTTTAGGCTTCTAAAAATAACATCTAAATATATGTAATTTAAATTGATATACTCGTAATTGAAGAGTCGGAGGAAGAATTAAATAGAAGGTTGACGACGAGTTTTAAAAATATATGATTTTCGTCCGAGCAAAAGCAATACATTGAATATAAAATATATTGTGTGTCTAACTTAAAAATAAAAAAATGGAGATTATATCAATACCACAATTTATGCGATTTAAATATCTTGGCCTCAAAGTACAAAACTATAGAGAAATAAAAGGAGGTAAATTATCGAATTTAATTTTTTGTCGGTCATACTAGTTAAAAAGTACATATTTGTGTGGCGTCTCTACAAAGATAGAGGATACTCAGAGACTTTATTAGATTTATAACAATTTAAGGTAGTTAGGGTCTGCCCATGATGAAGGTGAGAATAATACACAAGAAGGGGGGTTGAATTGTGTTTATTGTTTCTTAACTTTGTCTCTGATCAGAGCTCGGAATCTAAACTGATGTTCAGATTCTGATTAATACGTCGCAGTAGAATGTTAACAGAAGAAAATAAAAGATAAAGAACACACAGATTTATCCTGCCTCCTCCCAACTAAGAGTAATTTAGTCTCTTTGCAGCACAAAAGATTTTTCACTATAATCAAATCATGATTACAATTGCTTATGCACTTAAGCATAAGACTTTTCCTTGCTCAGACCCTCAGCCTGAGACTTCCTGCTTAAACCCATCAGGTCCAAGACTTCTGCTTAGATTGCACGAACCCAAGACTTCCTTGCTCAATCCCTTCAGGCCTAAGACTTCCTGCTTAAACCCCTCAAGTTCAAGACTTCTGCTCAAGCGTCCCAGGCCCAAGACTTTCTTGCTTAAGTTCCACAAACTCAAGACTTCTGCTCACACTCATAAGTACAAGACTTTTGTTCAGACTCACAGTCTAAGACTTTCTGCTCAATTAGCAACTAATCAAGACTTTTAATGCTCTAGCACATAGCAGGAGACTTACTTGGCTCAAGCTTCTCAAGAAGAGACTTTGATGCTCAAGCACATCGCAAAAGACTTTATCTAAACTACTAAACAAAATGTTTAGCAGAATAGAGAACAAGGTGTATTTGATACACAATCAGAGGTATTGGGTAATCACCATAACAAAGACCTTAAGAATTTAAGATTTCTAAAATATTCAATGTTTAAAAAATCTTAAGGCTTTGTATAATTTATAACAAATAGCAGAATTTCTGCATACTCGATTGTGTTGCTTATTGTTGATCCTGTTATTCTTTTATCTAGATAGAAATGTAAAACACTCATATCCTTCTTGGTTTTTGATCAGTGCATCTTCATGCATATTCTTCCATTATTATACTTAGGCATTCCTACAGTTTATTTAAGTATTTTTATTATTTTAATGTGCTTTCATATTTAAGTTTGTTTTTAGCTTTATTTTAAATTCGTATATTATTTTCAACATTAATATTTATTTGATACATGTTCACTGTGCAGACAATAACTTGAGCTACGGGATTTCGTTTTGCGCGTTCTAATAGGCGTTAGAAATCTGAGACAAAGAGCTACAAGTTTTGTGTTGAGGCCGAGAGCTGATTCGGAGTGGAATAGTGTGGAATAATTCGTTGAAGTTTCAGACTTTAGAAATATATTTTTTTGCGCCTGGTTTTTTATGTTTTTCGACCCAGTTGGGTTAGAAACCGGATTTGATGTTTTTCTATACCTAGTAGCAACCAGGCTACGTTCACGGACCTTTTTTTCACTATTCACGAATTTTACTTTTGCTTTTTACGAATTTCATGGAGAACTAAACCTCTTATGTTAATCTACTGTAATCAGGTTCTATTACCTTGAGATTTATATAACTTTGCAATTTAATTACTATTCATATCAATCCTATTTTATGATTATCGTTTGCTTAATCTAATTTGTCATAGAATAGTTTTGTTGATTCGATTGATTTATATTTCCTAAACTTAATTACGTGTTATCGTTTGCTTAATTCGTTAATTCACTTCTTTCTTAACCGTTTGCTTAATTCGACGAATAGGAAACATAACTCTTATAATGTCATTCTTGCCTGTTGATTGATATTGTGATCAAATATGAATAGAATTTGCTTAGAGCAGTGAAGTTATAATAATTGATGATAGGTAAGAATCGAACCAGCAAATTAACTTATTTTCGTAATCACTTATTTTAATCACTTTTTCTCCTTATTTTGGTGATCAAACTGAAACCTAAACAACCCCTTAATCATTATTAGTCGGTTAATAATCATATAAGAGTCCATGCGATACGACATCCGAGTGTCGCTTCCTGTTACTACTTTTAAAAACTCGTTTTTGACCTGTGTGCGACAGCGAATCAAATTGGCGCCGTTGCCGAAGATTCTTTTTTATTTTAGCCAATTCTAGAGTTTTTTGTTTTTTGTTTTTTGTTTTTGCTTGTTGATTTTCAAGGTTTTAGTACAGTGGTAAGCATTCCAGCCTATCATGTAAGTTTGAAAGTTACTGTTTTTATTTGCTCCGATTTTTTTCCCAGAAAATCAGGAAAAAAATTGACGAACAATACTCATTTAGAATAGAATTCTAAAAGATTTTGACCCTGAAAATTGAAAATTCCTTATTTTCCTATTTTATTCGATTTCCCCGGGGATTGTAGTGATATCACTTGTCGTTCTATAGTTCAAAGAGTTTTAAGTAGGGTTTTCAAAGATGTTTGTTTTGGATCATAAGTTTGTCACAAGTTTAGTCGCAAAGATTAAATTTTAAAAGATGTTTGTTTAACAAATCATATCAAAGATAGATTTTATCAACCTAACTTGTATATATTCTATTAATCAAGCATGTGAATTTGTTTCCAATTAATATAATCATGTATCCTATCAATATCGTCTATGTCTAGAGCGGTGTCATGAGTATTATTATTCCTTCATTAGATGATGTCTCATGCTAACAACAAATACAATAATCTTTAAGATCAACACAAAGCAAATATCAACTCATAAATCTATGTCTAGAGTTTGCTTATTGATAGATAAATATCTTAGATCAAGTTTTGTAAAAATTATGTCTAAAGTGATACAAATCATAAATAGATCTTTAAGAACAAAAACATTCACCATATATTAATCATCAACTTGTTCACATACAAAGAGATCAAAAGAAATACATATAAATTAAGATATATTACATCTATCTTTGATACAAAAGATTTAGCTACCCATCACCATGGTAACTTGCTTCACAAGGAAAGATAGAAGATGAATGTGCATCCACAATGAAGAATCAATCTAGGATGCGAATCCAACTTCTACTTGTAAAATATCACTTCTTGATGAAGAAATGAAGAACTTAGGGTTTTTCTCTCTAAGCCAATTTTTCTCTTACAGCAAATTGAGGTTCTCAAAGTTATGATCCCCAAGAAGCAAGAAAAGTACATAAATATCTTTACAAAATATGTCTCGCTCGCACTGCGAACTTCACTTTTAGGCACATGAAGTGCCTCTGAACAGTTAAACCGCCCTTGAGGATTCTTTGACTTTGCACTGTGAAGCTCATGTTCACACTGCGAACTTCTTCGCCCAGGCCTCACACTGTATTTAGTGAGGCATTTTTCTACTACCATCCAAAATTTCCAGTTCACCTTGGCCTCGCACTACGAGCTCGCCTTCACTTCTCTACTTGTTCACACTACGAACTTGCTGGATTCTCAATCACCTTTTTGGCTTCCTTGTCCATTCATTTGTGCCTTGTTCTTTGATAATCAAGCATAATTCCTACACGATAACACACATTGAAGGTGTGAGAAAACACAATAAGGGGGGTTTCAATTGGATTTTCAAAAATGAAAGCTTTTTGTGAAACTCAAACAAAGATCAAAAATAAACTAACAAGAGAGAAAGGCACACGATATATCCTAGTTCACTTGAAAACTATCAATATAATCCAGTCCACCCGCCAAGGTGATTACACCTTATACACAAGGACTTAATCCACTATAATCAACTAATTACACTGCACTAGCAACCGTTGGTGACTAACAACACAGACTAACTATCTCTTAAGGATTCTGACCTAATTGGTCCCTTAAGGAATCACAATCTGCACTAGCAACCGTTGGTGGCTAATAATAAAGGTTAATTGTCTCTTATTAAGGATTATGACCTAACTTGTCCCTTAAGGAGTTATAAACAACAGTTTGAACAAATATGTTTACAATTAATTGCTTCTACACAAGCAGATATAAACACTATTAATAGCTCAAATGACTTAAAGAAACTTTTACAATATGAACAATGTTCTTTCT